GGAGGGGAGGGAGGCCGGAAGGTGTGTGTGTGTCTGGGTGCCAAGTTTCAATGTGCAGAAACCACACAGAGTAATTCATGCAGAAAGTGTTGGGGGCCAGCAGGCCGCCTGCTGACATCCAGACTGGTGCAGGCAAGGAGCTCGCTGCTTGAAAGCGGAAAGGCAGAGCATATGTGTGAGGAGTTCAAGCCAGAAAGCGAATGCATTGCCACGTGGGGCTGGAGCAGTGGTGCCAAGATCTCATCACCTCCGTCCCCTTCGGAGACGGAGATGGGATGCCGGGTGGGGAGGAGCACGTTCAAATCCCGCCCAGCTCCCTGCTAGACTCAGGCGAGGATTCTAGAAAAGCTCCTGGTTTCATCATTGAAATCGCAAATTCAGTAGTATCTTATATAAAAGTACCCGATGCGGTGACCTGGTGGGAGCCCAGAAATTTGGCATTAGGACGCCGTATGGATAGTTGATACAGCAGAGAGGCATATAAGATAAAAATGTAAAGGGAAGATCCTAAGTACTTTATCAATTCAATTTATATTAAAAACACATTTCCTTCTAGTTCTTCTAAATATAAAATTGGTAATATATGGAAAGTCTGAGACATTAATAGAAATAGAAAAACATTTGCCCTCTATTCCACTGGCCAACAACACCGCCCTTAGCGGAGATGCCCTCCTTCCTTCTATTAAGGTAGACATTTCTACATAGTTGTGGTCACAGTGCCAATTATGGCACAAAAAAAAAAAGGTCGCCTTATCTCATATGATAGAGTTTGATGATAACTTTTTATTTAAATAATTAAAATTCTATTGCAAAATTTATAGACAATACTATATAAAAAAAGAAAACCACCCATAAGTTTCCACCACCCAGAGATAATCATTATTGGGTTTTTTTGGTAACATACATTTTTTCCATCATTATGATTTCTTATTACATCACCTTCTTGGCATTTAAGTGTTCTTATCTATAATTTTAAAAAATTATTATTTTATTTCACCTTCTATCTTATAATTTTAAAACCATTACCAATGTATTATGAATATCCTTCCCAACTATATTCCATTGTATAGCACCATATTTTAAATAATTCCTACTTTCAGACACTTAAATTGTTCCCAGTTTTTAAAATAATATAAACAATGCTATACTTGTTTAAATTAAAAAGAATATCATTTATGTGGATTTGCTGAAAAAAAATTATGTGAATTTTTAAGCCTTTGACTACATATTACCAAATTTCTATCTAGAAAGTATGTGCCAACTTGTACTACCTACAGCAAAGTAGTGCCCATTTCTCCACCACTGATACTATCATTCTTTTCTTAAAATTTTATTATGAGTAAAAGGAGTTTTATTATCCCCTTTATTAATGAGGTTAAATATTTCTTTATGTTTATGGTCCTTCTAAAATTTCTTGTGAACTGCCTGTTCAAAACATAATTTTGAACCTGGCACGGTTCTGTGGTGTGGATATGCCGTTGTTTAAGCATTCTCTACTAAAAGGAGAAATACAGTGTAATGTATGTGTGTAAGGAGTTCATGCCCCAAAGCAAAATGCATTATTACATGTGTCTGGAACAGTGTGCCCAGACCGCACTACCCTCCATCCCTCCTGCAGCTATGTGTATGTCACGCTGGGATGAACCTCTTCGAGTCCAGCCATACCTCATTTTTTTGTGCTTCCCTTCACTATACTTCACAGATACAGCATATTTGACAAATTGAAGGCAAGACCCTCCACCAGCAAAAAGATGATGACTTTCTTTATTGTGATAGTCATTCTATTGTGGTGGTCTGAAACCAAACCCACAACACCTCTGCAGTATGCCTGTATAAAGGGTCTTTGTGTGTATGTGCTTGAGGTATTTAGAATAAATTCCTACAAGTAGTGCTATTAGTTCAAAAAGTATGGCTATTGTAAATAGTTGTAGTTAGTATGACTTTACTATAGAATTAGCCCTAATTGTAACAGTTGAACAACCCTTGGTCTGAGAACAGATGTCTGTAAAGGCAGAGAGACTAGATTTCTGGTATTGGTGGGTTAACATGTCTGCTTGTATTTAACATGAAATATCAAGTAACATAGGAAGCGTGTCTTGCCAAACACTCTGCAAACACAGGCTATTCCTGAGTCTCAGCAAATACACACCCAGGACTCAGAGGTGCGAGGCGGGATGCTGAACACCTGATTCTAACCATTCTTACATGCAGATGGCAATACAAGAGAAATTGTGAGGTAGGAGGTGCTCGGACTTAACTCACTTGCCTTTCTTTTGGGATCATCTTCTGGCACCAAGTAGCATGACTGCCCTAGAGACTGTAAAGAAAAAAACCTTCAGAAATAATCCTTGGTTATGGATCCAAACTCATTTTTTTCAGGGGTGGCTGAAAGGAGTAATTTCACTAACAGACCTTTGAGATCAGAGGGTATGGGTATAGTCCACCCTCCATTTTTGTGGGTTCCACATGTGCAGATTCAACCAACTGTGCATTAAAAAAATCCTATATAATAAAAGCCTAATATGCAAATAGACCAAATGGTGGAACAACTCGTTGCTATGACACACATTGACCACTAAAGGGCAGACGCTCAACACAGGAGCTGCCCCCTGGTGGTCAGTGCGCTCCCACAGGGGGAGCGCCGCTCAGCCAGAAGGGACTCACAGCTGGTGAGCACAGCGGTGGTAGCCTCTTCCACCTCCGTGGCAGTTGGACATCCCCTGAGGGCTCCTGGACTGTGCAGGCTGGGCTGAGGGGAACCCTCCCCCCCCCCGACCCGGAGTGCATGAATTTCATGCACCAGGCCTCTAGTATTTGACATAAGAATGTTACGTTGTTGCTGACGTACACGGTGTAGCTAGGCCTATGATGATTGCGTTTGTACTGAACATACAGACTTTATTTCTTGTCATTATTCCCTAAACAATGCAGTCTAACTATTTAAATAGCACCTACATTGTGTTAGGAACTATAAGTAATCTTGAGATGATTTAAAGTATATGGAGTGTGTGAGTAGGTTTTATGCAAATACTACGCCATTTTACAGAAGGGACATGAACTCCCATGAAGTTTGGCATCCGTGGGGGGTTGTGGAACGGCTCCCTGGTGAACATGGAGGGACAATTGTAGATGAATGTCCGCGTGCACTTATGTATTTGGTGCTAAGGAACAAAGGGGTTTTAAACCTACCCGATGACCAGAGTAGCTTTTGTAAAAGGCATCTTCCTGAACACCATCCAGAGCATCTGGGGAAAAACCATAATATTGCATTTTAATGTGCGTCTCAGGTGATTCTGATAATCAGAGATTTGCATTCTGGTCTCTGTTTTGCTTTTGTCCACTATTATTCTAATGATTGTTCCTTTGCAATACTATCTTTTTTTCTCTACTTGCTCTTCTGCTAGAGTTTGCTTATTTTCAGAGTTCAGTTCTTCACGTGAGTCTAGGAGTAGATTTACACATTGTGTGCAGGACTCAGCGAGTTTCTTCAATCTGAGGCTTTCCTTGGCTGTGAATTTTCCAGCGCTATTTTCACTTAAAATATTGCCCCTTCTCTTTCTGACATTCCCATTAAACCTAAATTGAAAGTTCTAATTTAAATCTGTCTTTGGGATTTTATGCCTTTTTATCTCTCTGCAGCCCTCTGGATAATTTTCTCGAATTTATCTTTCCTATCATCCATCCTTTAAGTGTGCCAATCTGCTCTTAAAGCTGGCCCTTGTGTTTAATTCTATTCACAACTTTTTATTTTAAATTATTCTACTGAGTTTTTTCATCTCTGCCTGTTATTTTTTAGTACCCTGTTCTTTCGTGAACTTTTTATTTCTCCCCTTAGCTCCTTGATGATTGCACATATACATATAGACAGCTTTATTTTTTCCTACAGCTCTAGATTGTTGTTGGGGTGCAAGTCCTCTCCCCCATTGTGGACCATTTCCTTGTTTGATTTGTACTTTTTAATTGCGAGGATACATTTTCCCGGTGGAATTTCTATGTACTTTAAGATGTAGTAATAACCTTTCAAACAAGTCTGGCATTTTATTCCTCTGGGAACTTCAGGATCTCACTGGTCTGAAATAGTTCCAGTACCTATATTAATATCTCCATTTGGGAGTCCTATACCATGAAAATAATCAGCAATTTGGATTCCGCGCCTATGCATGGCAGAGATTTAAAAAAATTTTCATTTTGGAGATAGCTAACTGGTGAGAATTCCACCAGTGGTTTGGTCGTCAGTGAGCAATGTTTTATGATCCCCTTGTACGGTGGGAGCATTTCCTCCTTGGTTCTAGCTTTATGTGCGCATTTCAGTTTCCACACCTCACCACTCACAGGCCCAAGTCTTTTATTCTAGATCTCTGTGAAAAACTCCCACCCTAGCTGACAGGTCCTACACTGCATCCGATGTCCCCTGTTCTGTTTTGGCATCAGCTCGTGCACTCACCGCGTTGCTTACGGGGTTCTCCTTTTGGCAGATAGGAATCATCCTCCCTCCACGATGTAAAATAGTTTTGTTATATTTTATCCAGCAGCTCCGTGTGCCTGGAGCACAGAGAAGGATGTCAGAATGCTGATTAGATGAGACTAGAAACGGGTAGCAGTCAGGCTTGGAGACCCCAGCAAACCCCCCCCCCCCCCCCACACACACACAGGTGCAATAGAGAACACGTGACCTCTGAAACTAGAATCGAAGGCTCAGCTGTGACCTCGCCACTCTACCTGAATAAGCTACGCCGAGTCCTTTAACCTCTCAAAGCTTTACTTTTCTCAAGAAAGTAGGGAAATTTTAGTACTGATCTTCCTGTTGCTCTAAGTTCCCTCCTACTGAAATGCAAGACATTTTCTCGATGCTCCATTCCTACCGTAGCTGGAGAAGACTGCAGTATCTTCTTGGAGGCAGGCAAAATGTCTTAGTCAATAAAGTAACCTTGTGAATTTCCTTTCCTCATGGACTTTTCACATGCCAATGCACTGAGAAAAAACTCTGGTTAGAAAGAGAGACTTGAAATGGGAAAGAAGTGATCAATTCCATTTCTTCAGAAGTTTGCCAGGGTGGGATGAGGGGTGATTGCATTCTGTGGCATTTCGCTCCTCACAGTTCTCCTCTCTCTCCCTGGAGTGTAAATGAGTGAAACTATATGTTGGTTTAAGCAGTTCTCAACCTGTGGGTCGCGACCCCTTTGGGGGTCGAACGACCCTTTCACAGGAGTCGCCTAAGACCATCGGAAAACACATATATAATTACATATTGTTTTTGTGATTAATCACTATGCTTTAATTATGTTCAATTTGTAACAATGAAAATACATCCTGCATATCAGATATTTACATTACGATTCATAACAGTAGCAAAATTACAGTTATGAAGTAGCAACAAAAATAATTTTATGGTTGGCGGTCACCACAACATGAGGAACTGTATTAAAGGGTCGCGGCATTAGGAAGGTTGAGAACCACTGGTTTAGAGGTTCTGCTTAAATAAATCTTCAAGAGCCAATAAATATCTCAGGCTGAGCCCAGGTGAACAGCCTCCCAGAGCCTCAGGGTACCAGGCAGCGCAGGCGCAGGAGCGGACACCTCACCTCACAGACATACGGGGAGCTTTCCTAAAACGTTGTTATGTGGTAAATTCCTCATCAAACAGCAGAGCAATCTGATTTAAAAAAATTAGATTAAAAAAATAAACAGAGGCACAAAGAAATGACAAGTCCTTGAAGTGATTCTTGGGGTGAAATGACTATTCGTTGTGGAGAGCAATTTGTTATTGTCAACTCAAAAAGTTTAGCACACAAGTTCTTTGTTTCAGCTAGCCACCTCTAGAAATGTACGCTGTAGACAGATTCACACAAAAGCACTGGGCTGTCCAGAGCAGCTTCATCTTATATTTTTTTGGAGTTTATGTTTAGTAATAAAATCTGGAAGAAATTGAAATTCTCATTAATGTGAGTCTAAGTAAAAGACATCATGCAATGGGATGTTCTGTAGGTGGTAACATTATGCAGATCTCCACATACTCATCTGGAAAGGTGTCCAAGCCATGTTGTTTATAGTGACGAAGAGCTTGACCTTTGACGCCAGACTGCCCGAGCGGCCTCTGCCTAGGCTAGCTCTGTGAGTCTGAGCCTCAGTTTGCTCATATATGAAATTGGATAATAGTAATCCTTGAGCCATAGGATTATTGTGAGCATCAAAATGGATTTATATCTAAAGTGTTTATAACAATGCCAGACTCCTAATCATGTACTAAACTAATATGTTATGTTTGCTATTTCTATTGTTAATACCTAAAAACAGCAAGCTAATGCTACCTGCTTATGATTAATATGGGCAATCTCTTGCATTTAATCTCATATCTGTAATGCATCTTACACTCAGCAAATGTTTCATATTCAGCAAATGTTTCATATTCATAAATTTATTTAATCCAACTAACTGGATTATTAGTGAGTTCATTTAATCCCTGTGAAGTGAATTTCATATTTATTATTCTAAATAGAGGAGAAAAGTGACAGAATGAGTTTGTTGTTGGGTCCCCCCTCCGCTATCATGGCAAAGCTGAGCAGGCAACAAAATTGAGACTTAGCATGTTAAGAACTTGATTTTGAATAACATAAAAAAGTGGGTTTGTTGTGGGTCGACGAGAGAGAATAGCCAAAAAGCCAGTTCTCAAAGTTTATGAACAAAGCTTACATAACTGCCCCAGGATAAAGACGACCAGTCACTGGCAAAGGACACAATAAAACATATAGCTGACTTCTGTCCATAGCACCCTCAGGTTGGATTATGCTGATAAGACCTTAAGGTGGGACAATGAATTGGTTAGATTGGTAGAACCAACAGTATAATTAAAAAATATTTGCCACTGGATGTAGCTGAGGTCAGTGTAACAGTGAACAAATTTATAACAAATAGCCGCCAATCTCCATGCAAGTTGCTTTTCTCTCTGGTTTATTCACCGAGAGAGAGAGAGAGAGAGAGAGAGAGAGAGAAGGACCATAAGGCTTCTAAAATGCCTTTCATCCATCTATTAACACATTCTTTCAAAAACCAGGCATTGAGGGCTTTCTTAGTGCCAGACACTGATGATACTATGTTGAATGAGAGTGATAAGGTCACTGCTCTCAAGGAGTTTACATTCAGGTAAATGATTAAAATATCAGATAGTGATAAGTGTTAGAATAAATATAGGCTGACGAGAAAGAAAATGACTGAGTGTGACTCTATTGGGAGCCCAGGGAAGGACTCTGAGGAGGTGACATTTTAGAACAGAAGATAAGACTGTGACGCGCACGAATAAGAGAGAAGGTCATTCCAGGCAGAGGAAGTGCTTGTTCACAGACTCCAGGGAGGGAATGAGCTTGGTGCTGTGAGGAACCAGATGCAGGGTTGGTAGGTAAGAGGTAGAGCAGCGGTTCTCAACCTGTGGGTCGCGACCCCTATGGCGGTCAAACGACCCTTTCAGAGGGGTCGCCTAAGACCATCCTGCATATCAGATGTTTACATTACGATTCATAACAGTAGCAACATTACAGTTATGAAGTAGCAACGAAAATAATTTTATGGTTGGGGGTCACCACAACATGAGGAACTGTATTTAAAGGGCCAGAAGGTTGAGAACCACTGTGTTAAGTAGAAGAAGGATAAAGAATAATTGTCATATTTGAGCTTGAGCAAGTGGCTGGATGGTGGTGCCATTTTACAAAAGGGGAAGAAAGAGGTATGTAAGGGGCAGTTAGGGCGTGTGTAGAAAGTCTGACTCAAAAGTTCTGTATTGAACATCTATGTGAAGATGTCAAGTAGGCAAATAGACTCAGGAGTCCTGGGGCTACAACACAGTTAGAGACTGAGTCATCAGCATATAACGGGAACTGGATAGAATCACCTCAAGAGACAGAGAGGAGAAGAGGTGAGAACAAGATCCTGAAGCACTCTCACATCACAGGTCAAGTTGAAAAGATGAACCTAACAAAAGAGAATAGAAAATAGTGGCCAATGTGATCGGGGGTAGAAATAAAATCAGAAGAATGTGGTATGTGGGAAAGATTCAAGAAGCAGAGAGCAACCCAGTATATCAAATGTTGCTAGGAGGTCTACTAAGATATGACCAGCAAATCAAGTATTTGATTCCAGAGAAAAGAAATCACGTTAGGATCCGGCTATAGCTACAACTACGATGCTTTCATACCACCTAAGGGGTAGGGAGGAGCCCTTAACAGGAAGTTTGCCAACGGGTTATAGAGTTACACTGAAAGTCAATAGACAGGGCTTTCCAGTGTGGTTATTCCAATATGTAGACAATCCCAATCTCACTCATGAAGAGGATCCATAAGCATGGGTTTTTAGCAAAGTCACAAAAACAAGGAAATTGATGAACTTCAAGATAAATGTAATTATCTTAATGAGTAGAATGGGTCCACATGCAATAATTACACATTATGAGGAAATAAAAGTGACATGTGATTAAGTTGGCACCAGTTCAGAAGTCAAGTTAGCCAACAGCTATCATGTAACAGAGTTTCTAACTCAACACTTGATATTTGGGTATATGGCACAAACTGAGCAATAATTCTTTTTGAAAGAACTGGTTTCATTTAGGGAAACAATTTATAAAGCTGATTGGGGATAAATGTGGGTCAGCATGAATCAAATAGAGGAAATGTTTAGGAATTCATGTACCTAACATTGAATTTTAAGTTGTTTATGATGCTATATATAACTAACCTTCACAAAATTTTACACAGGTAAATATCTCATGTGCCTGTTGGTACAGACATTTAGAATTTTCCCAATAAAAAGTCAACTCATCACCCAATTATTCTACAGAGCACTCTATAGTTGGTAAAGCCGAGTCCAAACACACAGAGCTTCCAATCAGCATTTTTTAAACCTAACTTTTAAAATATCAACAGAAAACCAAGGATTACTTGACATTTGAAGAAAGCCTCTAACATAAAAGATAAGAGACATCAAAACAAGAATGGAAACTCAAGAGACTACACACTAAAAAGAACACTTTAATGATCTCAGAGAGAATAAAAATAAGCTATTTATCCTTAAAACAAAATCAGGATGCGATTAAGAAAGAAAAAAGAATAAGCAGAAATTATTATTAAAATAATAAAGGGTTCTTAAAAATGTTAGTAGCTAAAATTATATATGTTTGCAATTTATATATACAAGGTGGGTCAAAAGTAGGTTTACCATTGTTCACATGGATAATAATACAAGAATAAACTATTTCATGTACTTAAAACTGTAAACCTACTTTTTCCCCACTCTGTATATAGATTGTAAATTTATACATATTACATATTTATATTTTGTAAATCTATATATTTGTAAAAGATGTAGAAAATAAAGCTAAGGAAATATCTCATTCTTTTAAAAAAATCAGAGAGAAAAGAGATGAAACAAGGAGGCCCAACATCCTAACAATAGAATAGAGGAGAGAAAAAATTGTCAAAAGAAGTATTACAAGAACATTTTCTGGACCTGAAAAACATGAGTGTCCAGACTGAAATGGCCTACTGAGAACCCAGCACAATAAATGAGAAAAGAACACACAACTGCTGTAAACTTTCAGAAAGATAGTAAAAGTTTCAAGAAAAGGGGGAAAACAGGCCCCATATAAATGATCGAGAATATGAAATTCAGCAAATACAGACCCAGTGTTAGAAAGAGAGAATACAAACATTTTCTGACATTTAAGATCTACGTACATTTTTCTCAAGAAGTCTTCTGAAGGATGGCTCCCTCTAAAGCAGTGAGGCAAACCAAGAAAGAAAAACCAATATCCAGAAAACAAGGGACCAACCTCAGAGGGAGATGAAGGAACTTCCCTGGATAACAGTGAAAATTAGTTAGACAACGGGTAGGGAACAAGTGATCCGGATGAACCTGAGTGACAGGGAATGATCACCTGGTAGATCAGCACGTGTAGAAAGCTGTAAGATCGGTTGTATTGCTTGAGCTTGGGAAAGTAGATGCAGAAACTAGACTGAGTGGGTTCAAATCCTGGTTCTGCTACATATGATCTCATCTGAATCAGTTAGCCTCTCTGCTTCACATTTGCCATCGAACAAGTGATCCGGATGAACCTGAGTGACAGGGAATGATCACCTGGTAGATCAGCACGTGTAGAAAGCTGTAAGATCGGTTGTATTGCTTGAGCTTGGGA